AAAATCATTAAGCTTCACCTTTTAAAGAATAGATCCAAGATATTTACCACAAGATAAACTCTTAAACCCTTCTCATATAAAGACATCTCTTTAGAAAGAAAAGGCTATCTCGAGCAAGAAGCTCTTCTTTGGCATCAATTCTCTCCTTAAAGATTCAACACAGAAGATCCACTAACTTGCTCATAGGAGAAACAGTTCTCTACTTGCAAATCAAGGATAAATTTCAAGATGTAGCACCCACTTTGACTAGATACCAATGTACCATCATCAAACTCTTGCATAGACCCCAAAATAACACCACAAGATCAAACAAATGTGTAAGAAGTCACGCACAACAACACAAAAGACAAGATCAATTTTGAAAACATAGTTTTCGCAAGAATTTGATTTATTTTTTTCAAAATCCATTCTGCAACAAGAAGGAACCTTGAAACAAATAAAGATAGTACTACTCATTAGTAGCACAAAGCTTGATTACCACACCAAGTAATGGATTCCGTGGCAACTCAAGATATTCTCAAAACCAAGAACTATGAAGTCCTCAATCAAAAAGAAATCTCTCGAAAATCAAACTGATAATATAAACTGATATGATAATATCAATTAATACCATCACTAAGATAGTCCAAGCTCTGATACCAAGAAACTGATAGCAATCTCGCAGACGAAGCAAATTTTGTTAATGCAACCATCAACAAGAAAGTACGAAGATAATTTGTCTATCCCGTGAAACTCAAAAGAGTGCGGAAAATTCACAGTAAGACGATCGTTTATCTAAGTGATTCTATCTCTTAACTCAAACCAAGCAAAGAACACATTATCCATGAAAGATTCGAATTAAACAACAACCCACGCTAAGAATAGCAAGGACACCATTCAATATACTCGATCAGTCATCATTTAAGAGACTCATGAAAGGAAGGAGCAAACAATGCTCAACTATGAAGGAATACTATTGATTAGTAATCTTCATAACCAACCAAAGATATGCAACACATACACTATCTCAAAATGCTTATGCCAAAGCACAACTCATCCAACAATAGTAGGACAAACCCCACAATGGAACTCATGAACACACTCATCATGAAATTCGAACGCCAAGCCAAAAGAAAGGCTCATCAATCGAACTACTAGAAGTAGTATGAAAATAAGAAGTTTTGTTTTAAACAATTCTATCAAGAAGCATACTTGAAAAAGAACGGTTTCTGCAAGATCAAAAAGATCCAAGACAAGATGAAAACCCTCTTGGTTAAATCATATTTGACACGAAAAATGGACACTCCATTTAAAAAAATTCCTCACAGGAAAAACTCTCAAAAGAGACAACAAGAATGACCACTCAAGGGTGCTTTGAAATTTCGGCCAAGCCCCCTATTTATAGGCTTAGAAATTCGGCCAGCACCTAAAGAAGAAGATCAATTCGGACTCTCTAATCTTATCTCACAAGGAGTAAAAGTAGAAGAGTATTTGATCTCTTTGACTCTATCTAAAATCTAGGAAACCTTATCTAAATGACTTATCCTCAAGTAGGATAATATCTAGAAGGAATCTAAGAGTCCTAATCAAAATACTCTAGTTTTATTCACTCCACATGGCTTATCTAACTGGATAAAACTCGAAAATAACTCCTAGACTTAGACAACAACTAAATCTCAAAAATCAGCTCCCAAATTGTTGAAGTAAAATGTCTTGAACGCCCTTCCAAAAGTGGAATATTTGTCTTGCGCCCCTTAAGTTATAGAAAACTCCAATTTACTCCAAAACTTGTAGAATTCTCTTTATTGACTCCAAAAGATTGGAAAAACACTTGAAACAATTAAGCTAGTTTGCAACCTTTCCAATTGTATAGCAATGGACTCAATCTTAAACACTTTGATCAAATAGGCCGTCCATTCAAGAACCTAAATGACTTTTCTCACTAGCTTGTCCAATGATCTTCATGGAGTACACAGAGTCAAACTCTCTTGATACCCTTCAGCACTTATTTCCATGAGGTCATCATCTCCCTTGGTTTGAACCCCAAAGTTAATGACATTCTCATCATCTTGATCATAGCTCTCTTGAACCAACTCCCTATCACATAGGTAGTCAAGATCCATCCTTTCTTCCTTGATTGGCCTGCAAAGTAAATTTGGCATTCCAAAACTAGAATGAAGGACTAGCTCATTCCCCTCACTAGGAGAATCACCATGGAAGGCTGCATGATTCTCATCACATATGAAGTTGAGTGTTAAGCAGAGTCCCTCTACTGATGAAGAAAAAGAAGAAATGAAGAATTCTTCTTATTCTTCTGTTGTTGGTAGTTTGATGTATGCGATAGTGTTTACACTTGATATTGCTCATGCAGTGTGTGCAGTGAGCAGGTTTCTTTCCAAACCTGGCAGAGAGCATTAGAATGTAGTTAAGTGGATTTTGAGATATCTTTGTGGCACCTCAAGTTTGAAGCTTTGTTTTAGAGGTGGTGAATTAGTTCTCATTGCCTACACTAATTCACCACCTCTCAATGTTGATACCAAAAGATCCACTTTAGGTTACTTGACTACTTTTTTAGGGGGAGCAGTTTCCTGGCAATCTAGGTTGCAAAAGTGTGTTGCTCTATCAACAACTGAAGCCGAGTTCATTGCAGCTACTGAAGCATGCAAGGAGCTGTTGTATTTAAAGAGGTTCTTGAAAGAACTTGGTTACTCTCAGAAGAGGTATGTTTTACTTGGTGATAGTCAAAGTGCAATTCATCTTGGTAAACATCCTACTTTTCATTCTAAGTCTAAGCATATTGATGTGAGGTACCATTGGATACGTGATATGTTGGATGAAAAGTTGATTGAGCTTGAGAACGTTCACACGGATGATAATGTGGCTGATATGATGACTAAGGTTTCACCAAGGTGCAAGTTTGAAGTTTGTTGTGCCATTGATGAGATGACAATTTCCTTCACATAGTCGGGAGGGGGGAGATTTCTTAGGATGGGATCCCAACTATGTGGGTCAAAGCCAAAGTAACTAAGTAAGTTTAGCCCAACTTGTGTTATGACATCAACCCAAGGTTTGAGTCCACTAAGGGGTAGTTAAAGGCAGCCAAAATTAGAATGAAGAAGGTGTTTCATTTACGGGAAACAGAACCATAAGTGAGAGAGGGAGCTAAAAATTTCCAGAAAGGATTTCACTGTAGCAGCGTCTCAAATCTTTTGAATTTTGGAGGGGTAATCGTTGTCCGTTGGCTCTAAAATTTAGACTGGAGTTACAAGACTCATCGATCTTCATTTCCACAAAAGGGGTTTTGGTGTTTATTGGATAGATTGTGAGTATTGTACTTTTGAAATTGCTGCTAGTTTTGTGGATGTTAAGTTGATCGTTTGATCTTGTATTAATAAACTAGTGCCTTTGTACCTTGGTTTAGCTTGGGTGAGGAACAGATATTTTTGTTGTATTGTTGGATTGGTGTTCTCCTACTCTTATTTGATTATTAGTGGACTTACTAGACCTTTTGGTCTCGTGATTTTTACTCCTTCACACCGAAGGGGGTTTTCCACGTAAATAGGTGTTGTGTGTTGTTTTTGCTTTCTTGTTATTTCATTGGTAGCTTTACTTCCACTTGGTGTTGTTAGTATTTTTCGCTCCTACTAGATTCTTGCAAATTGGGAAGGCCTCGGTTTGATTCCACTGTACTTAAGCTAGCTCGTGTTTGATTAGCTAGTTTGGTTTGCCATAATTTTGGTCCTCGCCTCCCAACATACCTAAAGTGCAATCTTTGCCAGAATCTCTTTGCAAGCTTTATTAATCTACAAACACTAAGGATAAGTAAGTTGGATAATTGGATGTACTTGCAGAAGGGATGAGCAAATTTGATCAGCTTGAGGCATCTTTAATTATGTTCACCATGGATTCGAAGCTTACAATACCAATCTTTATGGGACGGTTGACTTGTCTTCATACATTAAAACTGAAACTTTCCAAGAGCTAAAAGATACGACATTTACCCCCTTTATCTGCAATGAGCTGGCTCACTATATTGAGATGGATGAACATTTGCGAATGTCCATTGTTGAAGGAGAATTTTAAGAGTGGAAACAAGGTTAGATTCCGAGAGGTTACATTGATAGAGTGCTCCTTCATGATATGCAATTCAAATTTTTTAGTCTGTTCCGTCCCCAGTGCATCAATATATCAATACATAAATATATCAATGTACTAATACATTTTGGGTCGTACTCCTTAAACAGCTTCTCTGTATTGAAATACAGGAGTAAGGCTGCGTACATCTTGACCCCCAGACCCCAACCGAGTTAGAAATATACTTGATATGTTGTTGTTACGTACCTATTTTTAATATGAATGATAATACTAACAGCTGTTACATTACTTTATATACTCCGTATTATATTCAAAATTTTTATTCAGACAATATCTATTAATGCTTTAGAGATAGTACTAAGTATAGTATTCTAGTTTGATTTAACTTTCTCGATTGGTCAATCGGTTGAAGCTAAAAAGAGCTGGAAAATGGGTTCCAGTTAAAGAGTTGATAGAATCATAAAAAATGACATTTAGCTTAGCTTGTTGAGAGAATTTCATATTCTATATTAAACCAGTCAAACAAAATTTACATTTGATACAAAGTAACTACTTGTTATTACAAAAAGATAGAATTTCATGAAGCATTACATTATGGAGCAAATATTATGCGTAATAAGATCAATATATACTAAGCATTAGATCGCAATCTACACATTTTAAAATCAAGTAGACCAACAAAAGTATTTGGTTGGATAATGTGTCCTGTATCTCTAGTCTCAAACGTTGAGGAAATATGGGAAACAGATTGGTGGAGGAAAAGAAGGAAGTATGATACAACACGTTGACGCCATGAATTTCTTTCCCAACAAAACCCGTAATTTTTTTTTTTTTTTGGGAATTGAAGTAATTACATTAATCATCTCAGTCAAAACTACGGCCCCAGCCATAAGGAATAACAGTTTATTTTCAACTCCAAGATCCTTCCAAATTATAACAATTATTAATTGCTACATCAATTTATAGAGGAGGAAAAGAAAAGACAATGGAAGCTTTCTAACTTCAGATCCCTCCTATTTTACTTCAGATACATCTGAAAATAAAGTTAGCTTTCCACAAAAACGGACCTCAAAATCATGAAAAAGGGGGAAAAAAAAAACTAGACTTAATCAACTCTCTCTCCTTTACTAAATCCAAAGCATAAAGAATTGGAATTACAACAAAATCGAATTGCATTTTGACTGAATCATACTTAAGACTGCTGCTGCATAAGCAAGCTTCTAATTAACGCTGCTTGAGTGGTGTCTTGATTTGCTAGCAATTCAGAAAGCCTCTCACTAAGATCATCAACTTCTCTATGCAAATTTCTGATGTAGTTGCATGTCTCTTGCAATACCCTTGCTGCTGAAACCTGCCCAAAAAACAAATATTTAGGCACTTAATTTCTCTAATTATGCCCAAGTTGATCCTTTCAGGGACATTGTTGTAACCTAGACAAAAAATATTCACTGAGAAAAAAGTATATACCTTGTCTGAGCATCGGTTTCGAAGCTCAGGAAGAAGCTGTTGTAAATTAGATACTAGCTCATTGATTTGATCTTCATTAACCCTTGAAACTGTTGATGAATGCCTTGATCTTGACCTTCTGCTTGACATTTTGTATTGAAAAATTAGAGAATACTCCTTTTCTTTTTCTGTTTCAGATTGGTGTGGAAGTGTTTGAGACAATGTTCTGAATAATGAGCTTAGAAGCAACTAGGGCAAAAATTTTAGGAGCTGATGCATACTTTTGTTGATGTATTTATAGTCTAGCTAGCAGCTATAGCAATGCTGCAAAAGAAAAGAGCATACAGCTAAGTTTTAGTGACTGTGTGTACTGAAGGAGGCAGTTGCATGGGACAAAACAATGGGCTCAAATTGTCTTCAAATAGGGTTTTCGTTTTCTTCGAGGAGAAGAGGGAAAGAGAGAGAGTGTGTGCAATAAAGGGAGTATAAACAAATGAAGTTTGAAAAAGTATTGTGTGTGTCAGAACCTAGTAGTACTGGCTTCTTAATTACTCACATATTAAAAGAGTTCAAGTACATCAAAAAGCTTATGGAATGGCTGCATAATTGAAATTTGTTTTTAACCACTTGAGTAGGGAAATCCGAATGAAGTAAAAAGTATTTTCCGTCCTGAAATAAGATTGTTGTTTGCTTTATAAAAAAGTTCAACAAATAAATTCTTTGTGAAAAGAGATGAGTACTTTTAATGAGAGGTTGAAGAAGTAACATTTTAGGGTGATAGTGATACCATTTCATCAATCAATCAAACTCGGACAATTTGTGGATTTTAATTTGTAGTAATGATATGATGCATTTGATTTGTATTGAAACAATTTTCGAGTTCTTAGTGATTAATGACATGGCAACTCCTATGTAAAGTCATAACCATGATGCAGTTAATCTTGTGAGGGGAAAAAAAATCCGTGTTTCTTCATTTTCAATACTAACCCTAACCAGTTATCTCCATCAAGATACGGCATATTGACGGTACTCGTGTCATGAAATTCTCGTACGGGCAGTTGAAATTGAATATGGTATGACCGAAATATGTTAAAATCGGGGTAATCAACATGATAATTAAAGAATAAAATGAATTTGCAGGAAAACATATATTTAGTAACTATTTCCTCTTTTTTTTTAAAAAAAAGTTAAATATATATATCCAGTGTTTGAAATTACTATCATGAATCAATCAATTTAGTAAAAACTTTAAAACTTGTCTGTATTATGACAACTGACAAGTGTACGGTTTTCAAATTAAAATGATTATTATACGAGCTAGTTCATACCAAATTAAACTCATTGTGTGAGTGTGTGAACGGGAGGAGGCAGTAGCAACTTTTAATTAGTTGTATCTTCTTGTTTAGCCAACAAATTGCTCTCTGATCAGTGTCAGATAATACACGCAATATCATGGCTATTTTATTTCAACCATCATATCTTGATAGTTATTTAACTTATGTGTCTGTTTTTAAAATATTTAACCCAAATCAAAGAGCATGCGATGATCTAAGAATCCAATGCCCAAAACTATATATGTTGACTAGTCAATGCAATTTAAATCTTGATAAGTAACAATATCCCAAAGTTAGCAATTTATATCTCTCGATTACATCAGAGTTTCCTCAAATAGAATGGTACAGCGGACGACACGTCGAGCTCCTGATAACTCCAGTTATAATAATACGCAATCCCGGCCATACATTGCCGACTTCTTCAGAAATTAAATTTGTCGATCGTTTTATGTGGAAAAAGAAAAAAATACTTGTTTTCTTCCTATTAACTTAAGATATAGAAACAAGTTTATTAAATTTCCCCTGCAAAGAAAAACATGAAGTGCCGATTGTAATAATCAAAGCACGCAAGTAATACTGTCATGGCGCAACGAGATTGATTTTTTTTTTTTTTTTTGGGACGAATGGAAAATAATATATTGCAAATTTTATGTATATAAACTTTTTAGATTCCGAATTACGCTTTGAAAAATGTCTATTGCCAAGAACATACAATAAATAGTTGTTTTGAGGTCACCTTGTCCCGGTTTTAGTGGAAAAGATTTCGTAGTTTTTCCCACAGCTTATCTCCTTTCACAGGTCATCTTATTTGACATTTTATTAACGTCCCCCAGAAAAATCAACGGTGTTTGTTATTTGATCGGACAGTCTGTATACCTGAATTGTTTCAACTGCAAGGAACGAAAGTAATTATAATGTGTTTTTTTTAATATAAATAAAAAAACCAAAAACAGAAACTATGGTTGGAATAGTAAGAGAAAAATAAAGAAAGAGATATTCAAATTAAGACGGTCTTTTTTCTTTGTTTTTTTCCTTGCTCCCCTTGTGAAAAGAAGAGTAAAGATAGCATCAATATTATTAATCGTAGGAGGGATATTATTAATCTCATTCTGTGCCAGAATAAAGTGTTTTAATGAATTTATTAAAATGAGTCTGAAAATACACAAAAAGTTGTAATCACTATATTTCTCCAGTCTCAAAATTAAAAGATTATCTTTTAAATTATTTCAGGAAACCTATAATATATTGCTTACTGACGTCTAGTACCCCAAACTAATAAAAAAAATTTAAATGTAACAGAAAATAGATTTGTGCAGCGTGCCTCTCGGAGCACATGATATTGATCCAAGGACAACGCGATGACCAAACCCAATGTCACGAGCAAAATCCTTTTGTTCTTAGCTTTCGTTAATTTTTTTAATTAGGAAGTGTGGTTGCTTTCTAGCTCTTTTCCACACTGAAATCTATTAGACTGGATATTTTTATTTTTATAACTACAGGCATTCAGTCGTTATTGTTAAGAGCCACCCCCCAACTGCATCCCCAAAAGAAATTACGCCGAGCTGAAAATGAAAATTCTAACTGCACAATAATTTCACGACTAACGGAGCAAGAAATAAAAAATATACGTTTAGATTTCACCTTCAAGTTTAAACGTTATTAGTTATAGTTAAGTTAGCTAGGTGACTTACTTTAGCAATCATTTACATGGGGACGACAAAAGTAAAAATAACATTGAGTTGAAGTTGATATTCTCTTGTCTATGTTTACTAGGGAGTCAATCTCAAGGAGTTAATCAACTTTTGTCTTATTTTGTCTATGCATAGTGATTGGTAGTTCCTCGGAATTTTATCCACGTTGCTATATCATGGTCGGACCATAGCATCTATCAAATTTAATTCATTTTATCTCCCATATCGAATATTCTTGTTAAATTTCCATGTTTGAAAAAAATGGTCTTAGTTCTAAGTTATAAGAAACTATTTTCTTTTTCTTTTCATACGCACTTGACACTTACTGTTAAAACCATGGTGTTTAATCTCTTTTCTATAGATTATTCTTCCGTAATTCCATCACACAAAAATTTACCCTTTTGAATAATTTTTTTTTTCCTTTTCTTCATTTCTATATTTTCGCTTTCTTGAATCAGCATGTTGATGGGATTTCTTGGTATTTAATAGAAATGTTATTTTAAGTTACACACGGTGAATTGTGTTTCATTTAATAGATCTGTACATGTTTATACATATATTGAATCTTGGAGTTCACTATAGCAACGAACAAAATATTCAAGCAAGTATACTATACCTTTATTTTTTCTCTCTTTAAAACTCGAATTTCAATTGAGTTCTTCTTACAAAATATATGATTCGACACTAAAACTTGGAGTTGTGTTTACTCAACCAAGTAAAAAAAGTTAGGAGTATTTTTTTTCATTATTAAGAAGTTAGGAGTTGTGTTTACTCAACCAAGTAAAAAAGATTGATTCGTAATTCTAAAACACTGAGTATATACCTGGATAATTAAGTATTTTTCATTATTAAAATTCACAATTATTAAATTCCGTTGGCACTAATACAAACTCAAATAATCAAAATTCACAAGTATTTTTTATTTATTCTATCCGAACATATTAAGAAGAAGGCCCAAATCAAAAGTAATATGAATATGAATTAGTATCTAATCAATAGGAGAGAAGTCGGTGAAGATCATGTCATGTGCTCAGTACTGTGATCATCTTTTATTCTTTTAGAAATTTTATTTAACCCTTAATGAACCGACCAAAATGCCTTTTTGATTTCACCTGATCTTTTGTTAAAAAAGTTTAACATTTTTTTATCAAAAAAAGTAGATGCTAAGATAATAGATCGGTGGATTTAAATAACAGTCATTTAATTTATAAGGTGAAAAACAAACTCAACGTCGGCGGAAAGCATTGTTATCATACTTACCTTAATGAATTTCATCTAGCAGTTGCCTCTTATTTTATGCATTATTTAATATCAATGTCAAATGAATGAGGTAAAATTTCGTATCTCTCTGTCTTCAAAAACATAAATAAATAAATTAAAAAGTCCAAATAGTAACTCATAAATTACACTTAAAATTAATATAATTTGCAAATTGTAAAGTAAATTTTTAATTTTTAAGAACAGAAAATGTACAAATTTAGTAATAAGACTAGGACAATATTTAGGGGACTTTCTCCTGATTTTTGCAATGCGGAGTAAAATCAGTTTCAGATTCGAATTCTTCCTCTATGGAATCAAAATCTATCCCATATTTTATTCAAAGGAATATGGATGATATTTGACCGATTTTCTCCTAGTCTTATTGCACGTATGGCAGATTCGAATTAATACTATTAATCTTTTCAAAAATGAGCAAAAAAGTGACCCCTCAAATTAAAATTATTTGGCCGGTGACGATTTGCACAATTTACAGGAATCCGTGTAGCAGTGCCTGGGAAATAGTGTTGAGGTATTCAAAATGCTTTTTTGTTTGCTGATTAAAATATGACTTTAGTCTACAAGGAAATCTGAAAGTTGGCGTCTTATTCTCATGTCCATTAGTGTCATCGACAAAAAAAATTTCAAGTTGAATCCCATTGAACGACATTATGGTGTCGGTGGTTAATTTCCTTTCTTGAAAGTTAGAGTTAATTAACTTTTGGGAGTGTTACACTTGTTTCTTTCCTATTCAACTAGATGGCATAAAAATAAAAATAAAAATATTAAGAGAGGAAAATACTCGTTCCTGATCCTAGAAACAAAAAGTCACTCATCTCAATGAACATGACTCATTTTTTCTGTAGTGACACAATGAAAGTAGTACGATTGAAAAATGGATGTGTAATTATAATTATCTAATAATTAATCTTCTATCTAAGGGGCTATATTGTAGATACAGTATATTTTATACGTGTTCTGTGTTACTGTGTATGGATATGGATGAAATATAAGAAACTCGCATTTCTATTCTGAGACCTAAGGGAAAATCTCGTTTCCATACTGTTTGTAGAGAATCTGAAA